CGGGCTCGGGGCAGAGGAGCTTCGTAGCCTGGAGCTGGAGCAGAGCCGGCACCGAGACCTCCTCCTCCTGCCGGAGCTGCGGGATTCCTACGAGAACCTGACTGCGAAAGTCCTGGCCACCTACGTCTGGCTGGATCTGCACCTGGACTTCCAGTTTGCCCTGAAGGCTGATGACGATACCTTCGTGCGCTTGGATGTGCTCGTGGAAGAACTGAGAGCCAAGGAGCCACGTCGCCTCTATTGGGGCTTCTTTTCTGGCCGCGGTCGAGTGAAATCTGGCGGCAAATGGAAAGAGAGCGCCTGGGTGCTCTGTGACTACTACCTACCATATGCTCTGGGTGGTGGTTATGTGATTTCTGCAGATCTGGTGCACTATTTGCGTCTTAGCAGAGACTACCTGAACATGTGGCAGAGCGAAGATGTCTCCCTGGGGGTGTGGCTGGCTCCCATCGATGTGAAGAGAGTCCACGACCCTCGTTTTGACACTGAGTATAAGTCACGGGGTTGCAACAATAAGTACATAGTAACTCATAAGCAAAGCATCGAGGACATGCTGGAAAAGCACCAGACCCTGGCTAAAGAAGGGAAGCTCTGTAAGGAAGAGGTTAAGCTCAGGCTTTCCTACATGTATGATTGGGGAGTGCCTCCTTCGCAGTGTTGCCAAAGGAAGGATGGCATCCCATGAAAGCCTGAGGAAGGAAAAGGCAGAATGTTGATGGACTCTCTGAGCTTGGTTACTGTTACTTGGGGAGAATCCCAGTAACGAGGGCTTGAAAAATTACTCAAAAGATTTTGCACGATTCATTATGTCACGATCAATGAAACCCTGAAACTCCTAAGAGCTACTGATGTGGCATGAGGTAGAGGTGTTGAAAAAAGAAATAGATGACAAAAAGCATGGAAAGGCTCGTATGACAGGATTGAAGGCAAATAATAGGTTGCAAAATACAGGTAGTGCAGAAAATTCGGGGGAGGTAACTTGGATGAAAAGTTGCTGGAAGATTTTTAACAGATTCTAAGATTTATTTGCTAAAGATCATGATGGGCCTTTATGCTATCTATAAGATTGTGAAACTAGCATCTGCTGTTTATGTCTTGGCAAGGAACAAGTGTCAGTTTGGCAAGGTTTGAAGATTCTAATGGGGCTGCAAATCAGCTGCTATTGCCGGTGGGAACAGGTGGCTGGTTACAGACACCAGCAGTCAAGTAAAGGGAGCAATTTTACCCAGGATATTCACGTTAGGGGAGGGGAAGCGAGTCTGTTCTTTGGCAAGTGCTCTGATTTACAAGAATGGAATTATTAGACCTTCTGTGTAACTTGTCTCTAAGCTTTTTGTTGTTTTAAAGACATCGTGTACATAAATTATCTGGCAGCTATGGAGTAAGTCTATATTTAAAAAGGTGGATGAGTTATGGTATTTGGCAGATACGGAATATATTATCTTATTTTGGGGGCAAATAGTTATGCTACAAAGCTAGCCTTCGGTTGTTAGGCATAGGTGTTGTCCTTAGCTTATCCTCCAAACACACTGTGTACGAAGAACCATTTACCCTCCCAACAGTAAGTAATCTCACTGACTGCTACAAGGTCAGACATTGTAGGATTCAGATTTATATTGTTCCGGATTTCTTCTGTAAAATGTAAATTAGCAGGATGAGATCAGTGGACGCTATTCGGAGTTCAAACAAGATTGTCCTAACGTGGGTACCTCAGCTAAGAAAGTAAACTCTGTACGTAGTCAAGAGAAATAGGTTGCCGCAGCCCCTCACCCCCTCAAATTCCTGTTTGAGGAGAACCTTGACTCTCTTTTCAGGAGCTGCACTGCAATCTAAGGGGACTAATCCCCCAACAGTCACATTTAGGTGCTTGAAGATAGACTGCGTGGATTTCCTCCTTCTCTCCAATAGCACTTTGTAGTGGAACTAAAAATAATTTTACAGGAGGTCTTAAGTTAATTGCTCAAGTGATATGTCAGTAAATGGGATTACGTCCCATAGTCCTGTCTACGCTACGAATCGTTCTAGTACTGACAGAGCTTGTCAGCATCAGATGCAGGATTGAACAGTAAGTGCAGACAGGACATTCTTGGCTGTAGAACTGATCACTTACACAATTTCACCATCTTACTTAACTTCAAACCTTTAGGTAAGCCTGTAATTCGAACATTTTTTGAATGGCAGGTGCTCTAACACACAGAAATACCAGTACAGAGCCACTGCCTTCCAGTAACCTTTGTCAGCTACGGATCTTTCAGTATAAGCAGAGTTTTTACTTTTATGCCTGAAGGGCATTCTTAATTATCAGTTTTACTGTTTGTTGCACACTGCACTTTCATACAATTTCATTTCCTCCTCTCCCCGGGCCAGTGTCTGTTCCCACCTGCAGGAAGAGACAAATTGCAAAGTGAAAAAAAGGGTGCCAGTATCTCTCGTATTTTTGCTTCTTAAATCAGCAAGTTGGCAACTCATACCAAAGGAATCAAGTATGATTTTTTGTTGTTGTTGTTCTTTTGTTTTGATTAAATTATTGAGGATTAAGAAAAGTCTTCTGCAGAGGCTGATAGTCCTCTATTTTGAAAATTTGAACAAATCTTTGACTTCTTTCTAAAACAAGGTTAAATTAAGATACTGAAAAAAATAAGTTATTTTAGCATGTGTCCATTCTAATGCATGCTTATGTATTGACAAATAGGCAGGTATGCTTTTCAGCAAGGTATACTATTCAAAACAAGACTTTAACAAGATTACAGGAAATTTAAATTTGTTTTAGCATTTTTAAAAAGTATCTACTTGCCATTTGGGTTCACTAGGATTGTGTGTATATATGTGATTAAATGCCTGTAGTGTGAGTATTTATTTATAATGATTGAAGATGTATTATGTATAGGAAAAAATAAGATAGTTAAATGTCATTTTAAATTTGTTTAAGGAGGTACTGTAATGTCCATGAGAACTACATATCAAGGAGTGCTTGACTTTATTGGTGTACAAGCCATTATTTAACGTACTGAACTGCAGATCAAAAGTCTGCCGCATGTCTCTCAAGCTAGCAAGAATGTACCTGTGCCGTTCATCCATTTCTGCCCATACCTGTGTTCATGGCAGTTGTTCACATTGTTGCCTTTGACTCTCTCTGCCCACAGCCCCCATCCCTCACCCTCCCAAAACAATTGTTTTTCATTGCTGGCAAAATTAATGGCAGGGAAATGTTGGATCTCCATCTGATATTTGACCCCATGGGAGACGTTTTGCCTACAAATACTTAATAGTTAAGAAATTCTCTTGAAGAGTTCCTTACGCAAGTGTCAGGAGCACAGCGTGCAGCTCTCTGGACAGCAGCACAGCCCGCTGCCTGCCGAGGCGCGCTGCCTGCGCGCTTGCAAGACGAAGCTCAGAAACGATGGCGACCGCTCACGCGTTCTTGTATCCGCATCTCGGTCCGACACCACTTCGTTATACCCTTTTCTGTTTAAGGTTACCCGTGTTTTGCTCTGGTTGCAAACCAAATTAACCTGGAAGGCTCGGCAGATTCTTGTCCTTTGGTAAGTGGTTTTAGTTTTCTTAGTAGATGCTCCCTTACTGCAAATACAGCACTTAGATTTTAATCCCAGTTAACTGGGAAATTCTACAAAAGTAAAAGATGAAGTTTAATTTAGACTTTTTTTGGTATTTTAAAAGCAAATGGGATCATTTGGGAGAGAGCAGGCATCCCACACATTGTTTGGAAAAACCCAGAAAAACATTAACTAATACAGGATTATTTCTTTATCTTTTTACTGGAAAGAATTAGCATGTGGAAGACCTATTGATGTCATTTTGAATGATCAGGAGACATTTGTGTATTACATGACTGAGTCACAAAAGTTTTAAAACTTAAAGTTTCAGTCCAAAATTAATTGAGCCATTTTTTCTGAAGCAAAACATAAAACATGTTTTGAACAACATATGAATTCAGTATTTTTAAAGTAGTCATGAAAGGCTTTTATCTTTCATACCTTCTCAGGACATGGTTCCATATTTCTTGACATCATCTCAGAAGTCTGGTATATGATGGTTTTATACTTGAAAACCATGGTGGAAACTTTGTCTTTCTTGAAAATCAGGGGGAAGAGTCTGACTTCAGTGGCTCAAGCATCTGGGAGGATGTTTAAGTGCTGGTGAGAAATAAGTGGGGTTTGGTCCTTAGAGCAGCTATAGTAGAGCGAAAAGTTTTGTTGTGGGCCTTAGTGAAAACAGAATTATCCAGGAACAGATTTATCTTCTTTTTTGTAGCCATTCCTAGTGGCAATAGGCTAGTGATATGCTGGGCTTTTGGGGGATTTTAAATAGTGTTTCTGCTGGTTTCCAAGTTTTCCCTTCATAAATACTTTGCTTTTTTAACATTATTGTTAGTATGGGGAAAAATTATCTGTGTCGGATCTACAAGCTCACATTAGCCACCGTTCAGGACGGCCATTGAGTTGATCTGTAACACTACTGAGCCTTTTGTCATTATTTACAGGGGGTTGGGGTTTTCATTTGTTTTCTGTTTTTAAATCAGGCATTTAGCATTCTACCAGAACTAATAGGTACAGTAGAGAAATTAATTGTTCTTGGCACATCCAAGACTTGATACTGAAATATTTAAAGCTGACAATGGCATAAACTCAACTAGAAAATTGATTTTATTTTCCAGTGATTTTTTTTTAAGTTACGTGCAACATGACTTAATTACTTCAGTGTGTAAAAATAAGTAGCTAACACATTAAATACCATACTAAATAAAGTCACCATTCCACTTAAAAAACCCTCAGGCTTCCATGAATTCCTGTAGTCAATTCAAGATTTAAAAAAACCCCAAACCTAACTTAGAAATTACTATTCCTGTAACTGAATACTTTCTTTTCTGAATGTCTAGCCTTGTTCGTGTGATGTTTGCTCAAATACAGCTTCTATGTGTCACTACATTTTTCTGTAGCTGAAATGCCTCATTTCTGAGCATTTAAATCTCTCTGTTAACGCTAATGTTTTGGGGGCCCAGCTGCTAGCTTTGCAGGTTTGATTCAAAGCCCAGCGGCATGGGCAGGGGATTAAGAGTTGCAGTTCTATCGGTTTCTGTTCAGCTCCAGCATCCGAGTTGAAACGCGGCTTTGGTATCGCTGTACGCTTGACAAACTGTCAACACCTACACTACTATAGATTTTATTTAGAACACACTGCCTGCAAGACTCGAATCTGTTGCTACTTGTACCTGTGTAAGATATGCTTTTACCTTGGAGCTGGAACTACTTTATGCCAACGTAATACGCCAGTTATTACTTTCCGATACAGACTATTTAGGTAATGTCTAGTGAAACTTGGAAACGGAGCCGTCTGTTCCTTACAGCCTATCTGAAGCTGAAGGATGCTACGTAAGTGTGCCTTTATGAAACAGAATTAGCGTGGGGTACCGTGCTGAGTGTGTTTGAAACAATTGGATGAAATTGCACATTTTTTGCAGCCACGTAACTTTACCATTTGGGGGTGGGGTGTGGCACACAGGTTATTTGCTCAACATTTACATAGGAGATAAACTGCTAGAAAGCTGAAGCTATCTGATGATGAAAACGCTCAGTAATTGCGTAAGCGTGTTGTATGTGTATTTATGTCCTTTCATGTATGCCTTTATTGGCCAAAGGATCTGCGTGCTGTGATTTTTAATAAAAGACTTTTGCTGTAGAGGTGCTTGCTTGGTCTATGTAGGAAAAGAGACAAGTGTGGTTATTTTCATAGAATGTTTTGGGTTAGAAGGGACCCCCAGAGGTCACCCAGCCCAACCCCCCTGCAGGAGCAGGGACACCTTTAACCACATCAGGTTGCTCACAGCCCCGTCCAACCTGGCCTGGAAGGTTCCCAG